TAGCCATCGCTGCGTGGACCGAGTTTCTGTTGGCCACCAGTAACCCCATGTAGGTCGTTAGAACCCCCGACGAGTCGAAATAAAGTATATGCTCGGCGGCCTTGTTGACGGGTTGGGGTTCTACTATGTAATAGGGGCAAATAACTGTTAGTCCACGGCACCCGCCGCACAACAACGACGGCGACGATGACGACGAGATGAAGGAGGAAATTGTGAGCAACGCTTTCGGCGAGTACTGTGTCGACCTATACCGCAATCCTCGCGCAGGCGTGCTCACAGTTCCTCTGTCGCGTAGGGCAGCCCAGGGAGCCCTACTCCCTGGGAGAGCCACCCCCCAAGCCGAACCTTACCCAGTCCGCCCGGCACCAGAGTGAAACTAATGGCCGCGACGACGACTTACGGCTACGACTCAGATTGCGACTACAACCACGACTGCGATGACGCTTACAATCACGACTACGGTCAAAATTAGAATCACGACTACGTCCACGACTACGATCACGACTAGAATTACAACCACTGATTCCCACTGCAATCTTCAAGAGAAAATGCTTACCCATACTCTTGCGTGCAGGGTGGCCCACAACATATTGCTTCTTGGGAGAAAGGAGCGCCGAGCGTTACCCAGCCCGCCCAAGGCTCGATGGAAGATAATCTCCGCCGCGACGACGACGACGACGACGACGACGACGACGACGACGACTACGATAACGACCACGAGGAGGAGCAGGAGGAGGAGGAGCAGGAGGAGGAGGAGCAGCAGGAGGAGGAGGAGGGGGGGGAGGAGGAGGAGGAGGAGGAGGAGGAGGAGGAGGAGGAGGAGGAGGAGAGGAGAGAGGAGGAGAGGAGGAGGAGGAGGAGGAGGAGGAGGGGAGGAGGGAGGAGGAGGAGGAGGAGGAGGAGGAGGAGAAGGAGGAGGAGGAGGAGGAGGATGGGGCGAGTCTGTTCCTCGCCGAGAAACAACAGAGGTGGTGCAAACCTAAGACCTCCTGGGTCTATTGGTTAGGTTACATGTTACACATTTGTATACATGTATGTTATTTCCGGGGGAAATTTAATCCACGCTCCGACCACGCAAACCGTGCAATCAGACGAAAGATGAGTTGGATCCACGTGACTCTCGCACACACGGAATAGGATCTAATTGGGCTTGGGCACCCGTTCTTCCGTGCAAGAGGAATTTGTTTTCGGCTTGGGCAGGTATCGTTGCGATCTGAGAATGCTCTGCTGGTCGCAGGCTACTGTTGTTGTCAAAGGCTCAGGTTCCCGTTCTCGCGGACATGTTGCGGCGCTCGCGCGCCATCGTGGCATTTGGAGGGTCTGGAGTGGTGTTGCGTGCGCATGTGGAGCTCGCGTGCTACTGTGGTACTGCGGTTGGCCTTGTTGGCCTGGCCGGAGCCTCCACGGACGGGCAGGCGTGCGAGGGGCCCCCCAGGCCTGCTTGAAGCACCTTGCCACGGGCCCGCCCCTGTGTTGGTGCGAACTGAGGTGAACATACACGGTGCTGCCTATTCAGCGCCGTTGTTCTGCTGGGGACGCATGTCTCGCCCCTCGAGGGCTTCACGGGACTGCACAATGCTGCTGTGGAGCCGGTAGGCTCTGGTTTCCCTGGCCGCCTGGCCGTCGCGCGAAGCGTGGCGGGCGCGCCGTTGCCGTCGCAGGCTGCTGCTGCGGTGCTCCCCCAACACGTCGGCGGCACTGGCGCGACTGCTGCGGAGGGGCGCCTGCTGCGGCCCCGCGTCGCCGCCGCCATCTGCCGCCAGGGCCCAGACATCTTGGGGAACCTGGCCTGCGGCTGCGGTCGAAGCGAGGTATCCGATCGAGATCGATTCGGGGAGGGTGCCCTGATGGTCGTCGTGTGTGCTGGACGTTCTTGTGCATCCTGTGGGAGGGCACCCTCGAAGAAGCCTCCATTTGGCCCGCGGAGGGTCTCGTGTTCTTGAAGGGCCTTCCGTCCTAGGTCCAGCTGTATCTCGGGAGCCTGGTTCGCGGCGAACTGTGCAAGACTGCCCTTTGTCACAGTGGTCCATGGCGGCCTCCCTCCCAGCCCAGGGGGGGTCTGGGATGCGGCAGGTTCGAGGATGTCGTCGTTACACACGTTTCCTCTCGCTCTTCCTCTGCCATCTCGCCGTCCCCTATCGCCCCCGTACCCCGGGTACCCCTCGTGCCCAGAACCATATGCGTATACATATTTGTACATACATATATATATATATATGTATAAGGATCCCCCCACTTAATCATCCTAATGTTTCTCCTCCCCCACTTTTGGTACTGACGCTCCTCATCCCCCCCTCCTCTACATCCTGGTCGTCCTGCTACCCCTGCTCGTTCTACTCCTCCCCCGCCTCATCTTCGTCCTCGTGGTCTCGTCCCCGTCGTGGTAATTGTCGTTATCCCTTCGTCGGCCTCGTCGTCGTCCTCGTCGTGTTTGTCGCCGTCGTTTTGGTTCTCGTCGTTGTCCTCCTCATCGCCCTCCTCGTCCTCCTGTTCCTCCTCGCTTCTTTCGTCGCCGTCATCGTTCTCGGTTTCCCCTCGGTCTTCCTCGTCCTTCTCACCTTCTTTCGCATGCTATTGTGGCACTTGGAGGGTCCGGCATGCTGTCGTGCACACGCGAGACGCTCGAAGCCTATTGTCGGTTGTCGGTCGCTAGCATAATGCGGTGTTCACTGGCGCGTTGTGGTAGTCGCAAGCTACAGGTATACTCACGAGAGTTTTCTCGCTCGCATTCATATTGCGATGCTCGCAGGCTCTTGTGGTACGGGCAGGGTCCATCAGCCAGGTGTGCGTACGTAGTTGCAGTACCGCTGTGACGCTCGCGTGCAGTCTATGTGCGCACTCGCAGGTGCTTCTGCTCGCGTGCAATGGTTGCAGTCGGACCGAGGTATAATATTGAGGTCGGTGCGTGGAGGGTACCCTGATGTTCCTCGTGTCTGGCGGATGTGCTAGTGCATTCTGGGGGAGTGTACCCTCGAGTGATCCTATGGTTTGGGGTGTTTGGGCCAGCGGAAGGTCTTAATTTCTTGAAGGATGGTATTCTGTCCCAGCTCCGGCCGTGTGCGCAGTGTCTGGCATCCTGTTTCGTACACGGTGGCGCTCGCCAGGCGGTTGTGATTCTGACAGGGCCTGTCTTCTCTCGCGTCGCCGCCAGGTGGTGTCAACTTGCGCGTGGTGCTCGCAGGCCTGCTGTGGTGCGCTCAGGCGTTGCGGCCGAACCTTGCCACGAGGCCTAGGTGCGCGCGAGCGCTGCGGTGGTGCCAGGGGCACACTGCGGGGAGGTCTTTGCGTTCTGCCGCCCCCTCCCCGCCACTGCCCCCCACCCCCCTTTACGCGCCTGTTTATGGGCACGGGCAGCAAGCGCGCTCCTCCTGCTGCTGCTCCTGCATCCTCCCCCTTCTCCTCCTGCTCGTGCCGCTTGCCCCCCTCCCCCTCCTGATGTTCCTGCTCCTCTCCCTCCTGCTCTTCGTCCTGCTCTCAAGTCGGGCCTGTCCCTCTACAGGAGGAGTATCCAACAATATTCAAAACATAGTCTGGGGACGATGCGTTGCGTATTTTTTGGCATCTGTTGATTTTGACTGGGGCTATTTCATAATTCTCGTCCAAAATCCAAAGACACGCCCAACCTAATCCGGCTCCTCCTCCTGATCCTCCGGCCGAGCTTCCCGAACCGAGAGTCAGCGGCACCGTAACACCGGCACCGTAGACCCTCTTTCTGGCATTGCAGCGTTGCCCACATCGGGGAGGATTAGGTTCGCCGGGTCACTGGCCAAAGTACCGTTAGTGGAGTCCCCGTTAGAGGGGCGCTGAGAGAGGCGGACGGACAGGGGAGGGGCGGCAGCAGCGTGGGCAGAAGGACCCCGAGGCCCACGAGAGCAGAGGGGCGACGGAGGCGCCAGAAGACGACCCCGCTCGCGTCGGGACGGAGGGCCCAAGCAGTGGCCGAGGCGGTGTCGGCTCTGAGCCCGACGACGGCGGCGGGAGATGACGGCGCTGGTGCCGAGGTGCCAGGCGAGAGGCTCGGGCCGGACGAACGGGGGGGGGATAGGGAAAGGGGGGGTTACAAAAGCTACTGCGTGCAGCTGGTTTCGGCCCCGCCGAGGGGCCCATCCCTCGACACACGGGCGCCTCCGGCGCCGGGAGGCGCCGGGAAAACCAGCTACGCGAGTTGATGCTCACCCCATTTCGCCCGGCCCGAGGGGCAACGTCTTCTGGAGGAGGCGCAGGAGTGTGCTGAGCGTCGTCCGCCCCGTCCCGGGCCCCCTGGAGGCCTCTGAGAGGCCTCCCCGGGCCGCCGGGGGGATCTTCGGAGAGGTCTCCGGGGCCCTCTTGTTTGGGCAGGGGTCACCTTCATGGGCAGCGTTGGGGGGGGACGGGTTTTTCGGGGCAGGGCGCCGCAACGCCCTGTGCTTCACTCATCTCCGATGGGTGGCCGATCGCCCGCCCTGCCGAGGAGCGTGCGGAGTCGCCAGCGGGTGCACCTCGCCGATGGATCGGCGACGTATCGAAGATTCCAGATCGATGCTTTTCCCTCCTGAGCTGGCTCTCCCCGTATCGCTGCCCGTCCTCTGCATGGGCGATGGCGGAAGTGTCGGCCAGATGCGCGGGGCTCGCTCACATCTCGGGCCCCCGAGGGGTCCAGAGCCGTTGCGTTCCTCGTTCTCGCCACTCGGGAGGCCGCCGACGTCGGTGATTTCGTTCGCGCTCGCAGATGTTATGCGCTGGTGAGGGTGAGTGGTGAGTTGCGCGGACCGTCTTCAGGCATGACGCTCTGGAGAAGCAGAACGCGATGCTCAAGAAGGCCAGCGCCGCCCTTGCATATGGATCGCACGCGGGGCCAGGTAGGGCAAGCCGGGGATCCTGGCATCCGGTGTCTTCCGCCGATGTGTGCAAACGCACGCTGCATGAAAGCGCTGGAGCTGTGATCCCCATCTTGGTGCGAGAGCTCTCGATCATGATCGATCCTTCAGGGCCGCGTGGCGAGAAACGGGGCAGGTACGCAACACGGGCTCCTCCTCCCTTCCCCTCACCCAGCTCACCTCGTCCTTCCTTTCTGTCTTTCTGCACCTGCTCGTGCTACTCCTCCTCGTCCTCCACTTTCTTCTCCCTTCTTCCTCAACGTCGAATTCCCAGACGCGTCTTGGAGCGCATTATGACGGAGGGTCACAGAAAGGCTCCACCCAAAGACAATGATACATGGAGGTACCCATATATGATCCCGTGTCGAGGTCCCACATTGTATTGGCATGAACTTGCGTTGGACCGTGAGGCTTGGCAAGCCCACCTCTTGGTTCGCGCACATGATGAGGCACAAACTGTTGAATGCCAATTGCGGGAATATCCGATCTACATGTTTCACAGGTGGCGTGAAATAGTACAATCGTTGTCGAGACGTGCATTCGTTTTTCTGAGCCAAACCTTTTGCCAAGCAGCGGTAGGAGCTTACGCACACACGCAGGCCGCAGTAACAGTAGTTCGGCGGCGAGCTCGGGGGAAGTGAGAAGGGGCGGGCCTTCCCAGGAGTTTCGGAAGTCCCCCAGCCGTCTGAGAAGTCTTCTGAGCCTTTCCCGAAGACGCGCAAGAGCTCTCTGAAGGCGCGAGGGCTTCTGAGAAGTCCCGCCGCCTTCTGAGACGGCCTTCTCCTCCTCATTCTCATCTCCACCCCTCGCTCGCCGCCGAAGCAAGCTCATCGGCACCTTCACGAAGTGGCACCTGCTCCCCCCAGCGCGCCGCCAACCGCGAAGAGAGACACGGAGCGTGCACGCCCGCCTCGACTCGAGGATCTTCATCGCCGATTCTGGCCTCACGACCTGTGCGCGCTCGCCGCCGAGTAGTGCCCCCCAGGTGCCCCTCCGGATCCTCGGCTGCCGCGGGGGGAGGCGGAGCCCCGAGGAGAGGGGGCGGCCCTCGCGCGCCCCTCCTGCCCGCACCCCCCCGGCCCGCAGAACGGCCGAGACCTGGAGGAGCACCACAGGAAGACGCTCCAAGAGAACACGGACAGGGGGGGGAAGGGTCGGCGAGGGAGGAGGGAGCAGGGAGGAGGAGGGAGTAGGGCGGGGGGGGGAGGAGGAGGAGGAGGAGGAGGAGGGGATGGAAGAGGGAGCGGGGAGCAGGAGTAGGGAGGGGGGGAGAGGGAGGAGGAGGACAAATAGGGGAAGGATGAGGATGATGATGATGACGATGACGATGAGGAGGAGGAGGAGGAGGAGGAGGAGGAGAAGGAGGAGGAGGAGGAGGAGGAGGAGGAGGAGGAGGAGCAGGGGGAGGAGCAGGGGGAGGAGGAGCAGGAGGAGGAGGAGGAGGAGGAGGAGGAGGAATCCGAGAGAGACCGAGGAAGGAGGAAGGAGGAGATAGAGGGAGGGTGGAGGAGGAGACCAGGAGCTGGAGCTGGACCAGGAGGAGAGAGAGAGAGAGAGCGAGGGAGCGAGGAGGGCTCTGCCCCCACCGCCTCGGCTGGACGCATCCCTTGCGCGCGCTGATCCGATGGGGCGTGCCGCGCAGCGCACGGCGTGTCCAGCAGCGCGCGGCGCACGGCCTCGGGACGGCGGGGGGGCCGCGGAGCGCTGCGTCATACGGTCAGGGACGTTTTGAAGTCCGAGGAAGCACAGGTACGGTAGGCTCGCGTCGTGTCGACCGGTGGCGACCCCGCCGCCGGCGTCCAGCGTTGGACGCCGCCGGCGTCCAACCAGAAGTTGGTCGACGTTGACCGATTGGACGTCTCGGGAACGGCCGAGCGTTCAAGGTTGAACGATCTCCACGGTGTCAGGAACCAACGCCGGGGTCGGCACGATACGAACTTGCCGTGACCATACCACTGCTCATCCTGGGGAGCTTTCGTCGCCACGGCCTGATTATCGTCGAGATCCTGGTCAGAACGCACCCTGGGGGGGGCCCTTGTAGTAGCGGTGTGGGTACCTTTTCGTCCCTCAGTTTGCTTAGCGATAAGTCGGGCATGCCCCCCTACAGAAGGAATATTCAAAATAATCAAACTATCCTGGCGAAGGATCCAACCATATGCAGTTGTGAGTAACGCGTTGTGGGCGCCGCTTTCGGTGGAGCTCCCTATGGGGCCACGAAACGCTGTACTGGGAGGGGGGGACGCATGCGGGCGGTGCCACTGGGGCCTTCGGTGGAGCTCCCTATGGGCCCACGAAACGCTGTACTGGGTGGGAGGTCGCATGCGGGCGAACCGCTGGAGCCCCCTACGGGGCCACGAAACGCTGTACTGGGTGGGGGGGACGCACGCGGGCGGTGCTATTGGGGCTTGGTGGAGCTTCCAATCAATTGGGCCGCGCAATGCAGTACTGGGCGGTGGACGACGCATGCGGGCGGTGCCACTGGGGTTTTTCTGTGGAGCTCCTTACGGGGCCACGAAACGCTGTACTGGGTGGTGGCTGACGCATGCGGACGGTGCCACTGGGACCTTCGGTGGGGCTTCCTACGGGGCCACGAAACGCTGTACTGGGTGGTGGCTGACGCATGCGGGTGGTCCCACTGGGACCTTCGGTTGAGCTCCATATGGGACCACGAAGCGCTGTACTGGGTGGTGGGTGACGCATGCGGGCGGTGCCACTGGGGCCGTCGGTGGAGCTCCCGGTGGGGCCACGAAACGCCGCACTGGGTGGTGGCTGACGCATGCGGGCGGTGCCACTGGGACCTTCGGTGGAGCTTCCTACGGGGCCACGAAACGCTGTACTGGGTGGTGGCTGACGCATGCGGGCGGTGCCACTGGGGTTTTCGGTGTAGCCCCTATGGGGCCACGAAACGCTGTGCTGGGTGGTGGCTGACGCATGCGGGCGGTCCCACTGGGGGCTTCGGTGGAGCTCCCTATGGGGCCGCGAAACGTGTGAGGGGTGTGCCGAAATGGTGGACACTCGGAGGGCAGAGGCAAGGGATGGAAGGAGGGGGAGGAGAAGGAGGGAGGAGGAAGGAAGGACCGAAGGATCGCGGGGCCCGTCTCTCGAAAACGAGGACCCAGCACCACAGGATGGTTTGGGAAAACAGTCTGGGGACGATATTCTACCTTTGTTTGCTATCAGTGTCGGTCATGGCTTAAAAGAGTTGTGATTTGTCGTCAGAAATCCGCCTATAGGAGGACGTGCCCGACCTACGGTCAGCGTGTCGCGCTGCTGGGTCTGGCCCATGTCGCCTCGGCACGAGAGGCTGCGCACCTCGTTGTCCCCAGGGGCATCCGCGTCCCGAGCTATCCTTCTGCCTGCCCAGCCCTCCCGCCCCGCGAGGCGGAGCGTCGCGCACTCCTCAGGAGGGTTATGTCGGGGGTGGACAGAACCCCCAACAGTGACACGTCGATTAGTGAATTGTCCGTTTTATGTTTTCGAGAGTGCGCCGTGGCCGTTTTTTTTCCAGTCTTGCGTCCGCCAGGTTTGGGCCTCAGGTCGTGTTCACTAAACCACGTTTTACTAAAGGGGGTTCTGTCCATCTCCGATTATGATGTTCCAACCTACTTTTTAGCCTTTGTCACCAGGAAGAATTTCGAGCACCCGGAAAGCACCGAAATCGGAGGGTGTTCACGTGTCGGGCCTTGTGAGGCGGTACTCGTTCGACACTGTGTCGTTACTTCTCTGGGTGCTCGAAATTCTGGGATGTGGCCCTTCAGTACGATGGGGGCGACATAACAGGAGGAGAAAAAACACACGGAAACCATGAAACGTCGACTCCCAGAGACCCCGAAAATATAGGAACGTTGAGGGAGCCCTGGGATCTGTGTCTATTCCTTCGTGTGTCCCGGGGCCTCTTTAGTTGTCCTTGCAAGGCATGGCGTGTCGCAGGGGGCGTCGCATCAACACGCTGGACGAGCCTGCTCGACCTACACCCTGGACGCGGCTGGCCTGTGGGGTAACCAAGAGGTGCCGATACCGATACCCCCCGGACCTCTCCCGGGGTGCGTTCTGGCTCGGATTGCGAGGCGAATCCAGAGGTGGCGACGAGGGCCTCCTAGGAGGCCCAAAGGGGGGAAAACGCAGGGGTGGTAGCGGCATGGATACCTGTTCCTCCCCTGACCTTCCACGAGGAGCTCCCTGCCCAGAGGCCGCCGTGGCGTCAAGCGTCGGGGATCTGCTGACCCGGGTCAATCAGCCCCCGGTCAGCAAGAAACCAAACATTGAAATGCAGGGGAAACCAAACATTTGCAATGTAGGGGATAGAGGCAATGCAATGCAAAATGAAATGCAGTGCGAGGGGGTAGAGTCAATGCAATGCAATGCAGTGCGAGGTGGGCAACCCAAACACTGCAATGCAGTGCGAGGGGGTGGAGGTACACGGGTGCACTTTCCTCATCGCCAGCCTGGGCGAGGAGGAGGAGGAGGAGGAGGAAGAGGAGGGAGGAGGAAGGAGGAGGGAGGAGGAGGAGTGAGGAGGAGGAGGAGGAGGAGGAGGAGGAGGAGGACGAGGAGGAGGAAGGAGGAGGAGGAGGCGGAGGAGGAGAAGGAGGAGGAGGAGGAGGAAAAAGGAGGAAGAGGAGGGAGGAGGAGGGAGAAGGGAGGAGGAGGAGGAAGGAGGAAGAGGAGTAGGAGGAGGAGGAGGAGGAGGAGGAGGACCAGGAGGAGGAGGAGGATGAGGAGGAGGAGGAGGAGGAGGAGTAGGAGGAGGTATGATTGAGGAGGAGGAGGAGGCGGGAGGAGGGAGGAAGAGATAGGAGGAGGAGGGGTCGGAAGAACGGAGGAGGAGGAGGAAATGAGGAGACAGGGGGAAGGATTGAAGAGGCGCGGATGCCCTGCCTCAGGGGGCGTCCCATCTGCCCGCCGCGTTCGCGCTGGCCTGGGCGGCCGGGGGCAGGAGCTCAAGGCGACGCTCCAGGGGCGGCAGCAGGACCTGGACTCGCTGAACGCGTCTAAGCAGAAGGTCGACAAGGCGAGCGCTCCCAGGGAAGGGCGACGGCGGCGGCGGCGGCCTTCGACTCGGAAGCCCCTGGGTCGTTGCGGTGGGTTCTCGTCGCGCGGCGGCGGCGACGGCCGACGCGGGCGACGACGACGACGACGACGACGACGACGACGAAGACGAAGGCGACGTCGGCGCAGACGTCGACGTCGGCTTCTTTCGTGAGGCATATGGTTCGTTCCAGGAAGTACCTCGCCTTCGAGGATCGAAGGGGTTGCCAGCTCTGCCCCGGCGGACGGCGGCGGAAGGGCGGCGGAGGGCGGCAGACGTGAAACGAGGGCGCCTCCTCCTCCTCCTCCTCCTCTCCCTCCTCCTCCTTCTCTCTCGCCCTCCTTCTCCTCCTCTCCTCCTCCTCCTCTCCTCCTCCTCCCTCCTCCTCCTCCTCCTCCTCCTCCTCCTCCTCCTCCTCCCCCGCCTCCTCCTCCTCCTCCTCCTTCTCCTTCTCCTCCTCCTCCTTCTCCTTCTCCGCCGCCTCCTCTGGCAGAAGTAAAACGAGAGGGGCGGGGCTGGGGCACGAAGATGCCCACCTGCCTCTGCTCGCTCTTCGTCGGGCTTCTGGTTTTGCATAACTCGTGCCTGCACCAGCGCCGTGCACACGGCAGTCTAGAGCCCCACACGAGACCTCGTGCGCCGATGGATGAGTGGGGGTAACCACTGGTGCGCTACGTCGTCGGCAGGGCGGCGGAAGGCGGCGGAAGTAAAACAACGCGCCCCCCCAAGAGGACAGCAGTTGTGATCTCAGGGCTTCGGAGTCCGCATACGGTGTTAAGTCGGGCATGCCCCCCTACAGGAGGGATCTTCAAAACTAGTACAGAAGTGGTCTGCTGACGATGTTTCGGCTGTCTCTCATGTTTTTGAATATGTTTGACTCGTTTTTATTTGTCGTCGAAAATCCGCTTGTAGGGTTATGATGTTCCAACCTTTTTTAGCCTGGATCACCAGAAAGAGTTTCGAGCACCAGGAAAGTACCGAAATTGCAGGCTTTTCACGTGCCGGGGGCCCTGGGAGGCGATGCTCGTCCGACACTGCCTCGATACTTTGTTTGGTGCTCGAGCGTATTTCTGGGGTTTGGCCCTGACGTACGGTGGGTGCTGCAGGGGGGACAAGGCCCGACCTGAGTACACCTTAGGCGATGCTTAAGAAAACTTAAGTTTTCGGCCAGTCGATTATTCTTAACGTTTCAATGCAAATCTCTAGATGTTGATAGACATGTTGGGTTTTTTTTATTCAAGCTCTGAGACTATGAATTTCTGAACCCGTGATTTCTCAAGCATTTCGCAGGGAGTGCGGCGTTTGTTTGCTGGGAAGGCCCCAGGGCGGTGCGGCGACAGGCCGGGCGCGTTGACCCCCGGACCGCCGCCGCCTCTCACAGATTGGGCGCCGCGCAATGGGGGGGTCATAAATGGGGGGGTGGCGAGCGTGGTCCGAAAAGGTACCCGAACGGTTCCTAAACGAGCCCCCGTGGGGCTCTGGATGGGGCCCGAAAGAGGGGACCTTTTCTGACCCCCCCATGTGGGACCCCCCCATTAACGCCACGCCCAAGCAGAGAGCGCGGTGTGGGCACCCCGCGCCCCTCGGGGGCCTTTGCGAGGGCCCCGGAGGGCCCTCCTGCCGCCGCGGCCAGAGGTGCCCGGGGATCCATGGAAGGGGCGCCTCCCCGGACACGATCGCGGCGCAAAAAAATAACAAATCGGGACGGCAGGTGTTCTCCACCAGGTTCGGCCCCGGGGGGGCCCTCGCCGGACCCCGGGGCCGTCAAAAAGAGCTTGTTTTTTTTGTGGATTCGGGCAAGAAGTTGACTTGCATGGCGTTCGCCCCCCCCCCCCCCCACCCCCCCCCCCCCCCCCACCCCCCCCCACCCCACCCCTCGCCCCTCTTCGAGCGAGCACTAGCGTGCCAAGTGCCTTTCGACTTGCGTGATTTCCGCGCCCCCCCGAACGTGCAAGTCGTTCGCGGCTTGCTTCAGGCTCAGCCCCCCCCCCCCCGTCCATGCAAGTAACCTTGCCAGAGTCTAGAAAAGACAGGCCCCGACTCGGGATGAGAAACAGGCTCCGGGGAAAGGGCCTAAAACTTCGGGGGCGCCGTGCGGGAAAGATCGGGGCGTCGCGCGTCTGGGTCGGCATCGCTCGGGCGTGTGCCGTTTTTTTTTTAGCCTGGATCACCAGAAAGAGTTTCGAGCACCAGGAAAGTACCGAAATTGCAAGCTTTTCAAGTGCCGGGCCCTGGGAGGCGATGCTCGTCCGACACTGCCTCGATACTTTGTTTGGTGCTCGAGCGTATTTCTGGGATCTGGCACTGACGTACGGTGGGTGCAGCATAATTGATTGCAGGGGGGACAAGGCCCGACCTGAGTACACCTTAGGCGATGCTTAAGAAAACTTAAGTTTTCGGCCAGGGTCTCGATTATTCTTAACGTTTCAATGCAAATCTCTAGATTTGGATAGAAATGTTGGGTTTTTTTATTCAAGCTCTGAGACTATGAATTTCTGAACCCATGATTTCTCAAGCATTTCGCAGGGAGTGCGGCGTTTGTTTGCTGGGAAGGCCCCAAGGCGGTGCGGCGACAGGCCGGGCGCGTTGACCCCCGGACCGCCGCCGCCTCTCACAGATTGGGCGCCGCGCAATGGGGGGGTCATCAATGGGGGGGTGGCGAGCGTGGTCCGAAAAGGTACCCAAACGGTTCCTAAACGAGCCCCCCTGGGGCTCTGCATGGGGCCCGAAAGAGGGGACCTTTTCTGACCCCCCCATGGTGTGACCCCCCCCATTAAGCCACGCCCAAACAGAGCGCGGTGTGGGCACCCCGCGCCCCTCGGGGGCCTTTGCGAGGGCCCCGAGGGGCCCTCCATGCCGCCGCGGCCAGGGGCGCCCGGGGATCCAGGGGGGGCGCCTTCCCGGACATGATCGCGGCGCAAAGAGAACATCCCCATCTCTCCCCCTCTCTCCTCCTCCTCCTCATCCTCCTCCTCCCCCTTCTCCTCCTCCTCCTCCTCCTCTTCTTCTTCTTCCTATCATTAATATAATTCGGATTGCTAGCGTTGACATTACTCTTCGTATTATGACTTCCCCGGGGGGGCCCTCGCCGGACCCCGGGGCCGTCAAAAAGAGCCTGTTTTTTTTGGATTCGGGCAAGTTGACTTGCATGGCGTTCGCCCCCACCCCCCCCCCCCCCCCTCGCCCCTCTTCGAGCGAGCACCAGCGTGCAAGTGCCTTTTCGACTTGCGTGATTTCCGCGCCCCCCCGAACGTGCAAGTCGTTTGCGGCCTGCCTCAGGCTCAGCCCCCCCCTCCCCCCACCCCCCCCCCCCCCCCCCCCCCCCCCCGTCCATGCAAGTAACTTTGCCAGAGTCTAGAAAACACAGGCTCCGACTCGGGATGAGAAGCCGGCTCCAGAGGAAAGGGCCTGCACTTCGGGGGCGCCGTGCGGGAAAGATCGGGGCGTCGCACGTCTGGGTTGGCATCGCTCGGGCGTGTGCCGTTGTCTTTCTTTCTCGCCGAGGACCATCGAGGAGCCTCCGGGGTCGGCGGGCGAAGAACTGAGACGCGCACGAAACCGAGCCCCATGTTGAACATCGTCCAGCACGGATCCGCGCAGCTTCTGGAAATCCTTAAGTGTGCCCGGCGCCAGAGCGAGACCACCGGTGCGAACACCAGCTGCGCTCCATCCGTGCAGCTGTGGGACATGCTTAAGACGAGTGTGCGCAGCGCCAAACCGAGAGCCCCATCTTGAAAACGCAACTCAGGAGGGGACGAAACACACAGACACAATTAATCATCGATTCCGCCGGAAATATGGGAAAGCATTGGCAGTGGGGGGGGGAAGACAGAAACCCCAAAAACATGTATAAAAATATAGGGGCATCTTTTTATTTGTGCGTATTTATTCCCAACCCTCCTTGGTTGGGTGTTCGTTTTGAATAGAGGGGTGTGGTCGCGTCCCTCCTTCTTCGCCCGCCCCCCTCCTGCCTCCTCTCGCCTCCTCGCTGGGGGGCTGCGATCTGCGAAACTGTCGCCACTTTCGAGGGCTGCTGGTGGGTCCTGCGGAGTGAGGCACCGCGCGGACTTGAGCGGGACCTCGCGGTCCCTGGGGGCTGCGATCTGCGAAACTGTCGCCACTTTCGAGGGCTGCTGGTGGGTCCTGCGGAGTGAGGCACCGCGCGGACCTCCGCGGGACCTCGCCATCCCTGGGGGGCTGCGATCTGCGAGATTGTCGCCACTTTCGAGGGCTGCTGGTGGTTCCTGCGGATTGAGGCACTGCGCGGACCTGAGCGGGACCTCGCCGTCCCTGGGGGGCTGCGATCTGCGAAACCGTCGCCACTTTCGAGGGCTGCTGGTGGGTCCTGCGGAGTGAGGCACCGCGCGGACCTGAGCGGGACCTCGCGGTCCCTGGGGGCTGCGATCTGCGAAATTGTTGCCACTTTCGAGGGCTGCTGGTGGGTCCTGCGGGGTGAGGCACTGCGCGGACCTGAGCGGGACCTCGCCGTCCCTGGGGGGCTGCGATCTGCGACATTGTGGCCACTTTCGAGGGCTGCTGGTGGTTCCTGCGGAGTGAGGCACTGCGCGGACCTGAGCGGGACCTCGCCGTCCCTGGGAGGCTGCGATCTGCGAAACTGTCGCCACTTTCGAGGGCTGCTGGTGGGTCCTGCGGAGTGAGGCACCGCGCGGACCTGAGCGGGACCTCGCCGTCCCTGGGGGGTTGCGATCTGCGAAATTGTCGCCACTTTCGAGGGCTGCTGGTGGGTCCTGCTGGGTGAGGCAACGCGCGGACCTCCGCGGGACCTCGCCGTCCCTGGGGGGCTGCGATCTGCGAAACTGTCGCCACTTTCGAGGGCTGCTGGTGGTTCCTGCGGAGTGAGGCACTGCGCGGACCTGAGCGGGACCTCGCCGTCCCTGGGAGGCTGCGATCTGCGAAATTGTCGCCACTTTCGAGGGCTGCTGGTGGGTCCTGCGGACCTCGCCGTTCCTGGGGGGCTGCGA